AAAATCTATATTGTTTTCATCGAAGACGTCGTCTAATATTTTGTGATGTATTTCTTCCATTTTATTTTGTCTAAGAAAGGTGATGATGTTCTTATGCGATTTGTCTAATAATTGATCATTAGATATTTCAATTTTAGAATAATCAATGAGTGATTTAGTTTTATACAGTTCGACAAATCTATTAAAATGTTCAGTGATTTCTTCTTCATTGATTTCATTTGATTCTTCGTCAGATTCCGTATCGTTCGAAGCTAATATTGATATTTTCTTATGAAAATTCGCACATTCTTTAAAATGATTGATTTTAATTCGAGAAAGGGCGTCCGCATTTTTGTTGGTTTTTCCCGGTTTATGAATAATTTTATAATTGTATTCCTCAAGCTTGAGACGCCATCTAGCTAGTCTGCTTCCAGGGTCTTTTATAGAAAATAACCAGGTGAGTGGACGGTGATCAGTTACTAGGGTGAATTTTCTACCGAACAGATAGGGTCGGAAATGTTTTACAGCCCATACGATGGCAAGGAGCTCTCGCTCAATGGTCGAATATCGTGTTTCAGCATTACACAGGGTACGTGAAGCATATGCTATAGGAAGATCTTTTCCAATGGGGCCTTGGGATAATATAGCGCCGATGGCGAATGCACTTGCATCTGTTGTGAGGACGAATGGTTCCTCAAAGTTTGGATACGTCAGAATTGGGTCAGAAATTAAAGCGTTTTTCAAATCTTCAAAAGCTTGCTTGCAATCTGGGTCAAAATTAAAAGCAACGTCTTTTTGTAGTAGTCTAGTGAGAGGTTTAGAGAGTTTGGCAAAATTGGGAATAAAACGACGATAGTAACCGGCTAGACCTAGGAAAGATTTTATTTCTTTTGGTGTTTTCGGTTCAGGAAATCGTTGGATACAATCGACTTTAGAAGGGTTAGGCTTGACGCCATCTTGGGTAATGAGATGTCCGAGATACGCCACCTCTTTCCTGAGAAATTCACATTTATCAGGCTGGATTTTAAGATTTGCCTTTCGAAGACGTTTGAAGACTTCAGTAAGACGGGAAATGTGTTCGTGAATGGTAGGGAGTATACTATAATGTCGTCCATATAGACAAGACATCGTTCGTTCAAAATACCTAAAAGAATATTGTCCATGACACGCTGGAATGTGGACGGTGCATTTTTAAGTCCAAAAGGCATACGAGTAAATTCATAATGTCCGTTTTCGACAGAGAAGGCTGTTTTAGGAATATCTTTGGGATCGATTTCAATCTGATGAAATCCGGAGGCAAGATCGAGAGTTGTGAAATATTGGCATTTTCCAAGCTGGTCTAAGAGATCGGAGATATTAGGAAGAGGGTATTTATCGTCAATGGTACATTCATTGAGTTTGCGGTAGTCTATTACTACTCGCCATTTTTGTTCTCCAGAAGAGTCCATTTTTTTGGGAACAACCCAAACAGGAGATGACCAAGGAGAAGTAGAAGGCCGGATGATACCTTCGTTGATCATCTTATTTACTTGAGATTTAACTTCCTCTTTGTGGACCTGAGGATATCTGTATGATTTCGTAAAAATGGGTTTGGCGTTATTAGTTTCAATTTGATGTTTAATCTCACTGGTGAAAGTAAGATTGTCTCCTTCTAAGTAAAATATGTCTTCGTAATTTAAGCAAAGATTTGTTATTAATTCTTGTTCTTCCTCGTTAAGATGTTCTGTTCGAAGTCGAGATTTGATTTTGTTTGTACGGTCAATTTTATCAGGACAATAATTTTCCAAGTTATCGTTTGACTGGAAATTTAGGATAGGGTAATTCGAATAGGGTTCAATTACTATATCGGAAAAGTCGATAATTTTGGGAATTGCATTTGCGTTTACTACGGATGTCAGAAATTCTCCTTTTTCATTTACGTGTACTAACGCGTTGGGGATATGGACTTTTTCTTTTTCTTTTCTGTGCAAAATTGCATCTGTATTCGACAGATGACATTTTAACTTGAATATTTGTTCGGATCTGGGATCTATTTTAATTTGATTAGGGGGTTCATTGTTACGCGAATTAGTTTCTACTTTGTGGAGAGGTAATGTTTTAAAGTTTGTGATTAGTTGTTTGTTTTTGAGGTCTATCGTACACTCGTAATGTTCTAAGAAATCGAGGCCTAAGATTCCATCGAAATCAATATCTAAATTATAAATGAAGACCTTTATGAGGGTTTCCCACTTGAAACGGGACTAAAGTTGATTCAGTGACAAGAATTTTTTGGTCTGTAATACCCTGTATAGTAATTTGTTCGGGAAAACGTGGTTTGAAATTTTTCACGGTATTTTCTTTAAAGATAGAGATACCAGCACCGGTATCGATAAGTAATTTAAACGTATTTGATGCGTCTTTTATATAGTACAGGTTTTTAGAGTTTACAGCAAGAAGAGGGCTTAAAGAAAAGTCTGTTCTGGAAAGTTCAGAGATGGGTTCATGTCGTCCAAATTCAGAGTTTGTATCTGATTTTGTATTTGAGACAAAGATTCGTTCATTGAACTGGTATTGTCTGGTGGGTGGTTCTGATTCGGGATTGTGAGAAAATCCTGATAGTCTTGGCTATCAATTAAATCGGTTGATTGATCAAATGACTGGTAATAATCGGGAGGTGAATAATTATTATCAGAGAAATCTTCGTATTGGTAGCTTTCATTTAAAGCTGAAGTATAGTCATTAATATAGTCAGGTTCATAGTTAACGAAATGAGCTCTGTGTCTATCGTTCGAAAAATTAGGATTCTTATGTATTACAGAAGGGCGTACTTGTGAATTATTTTGATTTGGTGTGAATTGAGGTCTTTGTTGGTCATTGGGTCTATTGTTTTGGAAATTATTATTTGAACTGAAAGTTGGTCTTTGAAAGCCATTGTTTTGAGCATTATTGAAGTTTTGATGGTTATTAAAATTTCGAGAATTGTTAAAATTATGAGAGTTGTTGGAATTCTGCGAATTATTTTGGGAATTTTGTCGAGAACGACATTCATTGTACGAGTGGCCCATACGTCCACAAAATGTGCATCTATGTGGTTGAAGGTTTGGTCTTCTAATGGGTTGATTATTTTGATTGGGTTTTGGAGGATTGGATCTATTGATTTTTTGTATTTCGAAATAGGATAATTGTAACTCTCGTCTGATGCGGACTTGAGCTTCAAGAAGGTCTTTTGGATTACTAGCACGAATAATATGAGCGATTTTTGGATCGAGGCCGGTCAATAAGGTATTGAGCGCCATTGATTCAATTAATACAATTTGGGCCTGTTTTTCTACAGCAGAGAGGCTAGATTTCTGTATATTTGCGTGCATTTTTGCATTAAGGACTTGGACACGATTAAGGAATGTAAGAGCCGATTCATTTGGAAGTTGTTTGACTCTTTGTAAATCTTGTATCAAAGAAGATAAGTCTCTAGTGTCTCCAAAATGAGAGGTAAGAAGCTGTTTAATTTCTAGATACGATAATGGATTTCTTGAACTTATAAGTTGCGCTGCTCTTCCGCGTAATTTATTTTTAATGTGAATTACTAATAGTTGTTTTTGATCGCGCGTAGACATATTGTAGGCATAATCACAAGCATTTAAAAATGTGTGTAAAAATATCTGATCGCCTTCAAATTCGGGTACGATAGAAAATATTTCGGATAATTTGTAAGGTTCTATTTCAGGCTGGTTCTCATTACGAGAAGCGGGACGAGAAACGTTGCCGTTATCATTCATGGTGGTTAATAAATCAATAAACGAAATAGAAATAAAAATATAAGATAATGGATTAATTAAAAATAATTAATCAAATATAAATATCAAATAATAAAACAAAATGTAAATATCAAATAATAAAACAAAATGTAAATATCAAAATAATAAATCGAAAATGTAAATATTAAAATAATAAGTCAAAATATAGGAAAAGTATTTTTCTAAGACAGTGTCTGATTAGCAGAATAATCGACACAGGTAATCGTTTAATAAAATGAAAAATAAAAAAGTTGACGATTTACAGAATAATCGCCAAAAGTTTATAATTATTAAAGTAATTATCAAAAAATATTCAAATTCGGCATAAAATTATTAATTAAATGAATATTTTATATTGGAATATCGAACAGTATATGGTAATAAATGGTATTAAACAAAAATTATATACGAGATGATTCAGTATTAGACTTACATTAGTTCCAAAAACATCTAGTCGTCTTGTTCTCGACAGCTAATCTACCAGGGGCTTCACTTGGTGTTCCTTCCGTAGATGTCTGCAAAGTTAGGGCGGCACTGCTTTTTGGAGTTTTCTGGTTCTTTTTCTGATTAAAGGATTGGAATCCACCGTTGTCAGTTAGGTTCTCCTTGTTCTGCCAACGTTTCCAGATCCTACTGCGACTGCGCCACTTTTTATATCACGAAACACTTTTTTGACTTTTTAAAAAATTTATTAATTACAAAATACAAGTTACGTGGTAAAAATGAATGAAATATAAAATATAATGAATGAACTACAAAAATATACTGAATACTGAATTAAGAGCGACAAGCGGTTTTATAATATTAGTAAATGCTGACTCAGTGGGAACGTGTAAAAAGCTTGGGTCCCGCTGACTCTGCTGGTACTGCATTTGCAAGGATCCTTATCGGCTCAGGTTGTTGGAAGTGGAACCTGATACCCTGGGAATCGTCGTGATAAGGAACATCGGTTGGTACAATGCATATAACATATATATATATCATTATTCTCAGCATATTCTACCAATTATGGTGTAGCCTCCCTTACATATTCATTCTTCATATCTGCCCACGATTGTCTAAAATTTTCTATACCACGTTGTACCGGCTTGTTTCCTTATGTCATAGTCCCATCTTAAACTTGGACGTCTTCTTGGACTCTTGACGCCTCTTGGATACCACAGTGTAATTCTAGTTGACCACCTATTGTCAGTTCTTCTCGCTAAATGTCCAGCCCACTGGACTTAAGGATTTATTCTATGGATTACATCAGTAATCTTCGTTTTCTGTCTGATCCATTCTATTCTTTTTCAATCTCTCTTTGTTATACCTAGCACGCATCGCTCCATTGACCTTTGAGTGACTTAGAGTTTCGATATTATATTTCTTTAGTGTCCAGGTTTCGCAGCCGTATGTCATGAGTGGTAGTATACACTGATCGAATGCTTTTTTCTTAAGGTGAATTGGCATCTTTGATTTGAATATAACTGAATTTTTACCAAAAGATGTCCAAACTAGTTTCATTCTTCTGTTGATTTCTGGAAGTAAGTGCAGTGTTTATTATTATATCTTGAACATCCACTAGCTCGTTGTACATGGTTTTTGTTTTTGTAAGTTCATTTTTACGACCGTTAAAGGGAAATAAATGGGTTATTTCCACCAATTTCCCGTAGAGCACCAAACCCTCGTGGTGAGCCCTCGAGTTTGTGTTACAGGATTTGTTTGGTAGCTGATTCGTTTGTTTGCCTCTTATGGGCGTGAAAATTATACATAACACTTTTATTAGCAGTTTATTATACTTCCACAATACATTTCCACAATACCTTATACTTCCACAATACCTTATACCTTACACTTTACAATGTTGAACTACTTTTACTTTGCTCTTGTATCTTGTGTTCTTGTGTAGAACGGGTGAGAGAGAGTGAGAAAAACGTCTTGAGCGACTTAACAACTTAAATAACTGAATGCGACTGACTTAGTGCGGGCTGGACAAAGGGACGAAGGGGCGTGTGGGCTGGTGAGGTGTCAAATATGCTCTTTGACCGATAACCACATCAAAATAATCTACGGGACAAAAACAAAACGCGAGATAACAGAAGGATTTCAATTTATTTATTTCAAATATTTTTAATAAAAAGTTATAAAGTGTCCCTAATATAAAATACATATTTTTTCTTAGAATTATCGCAATAACTCTTAAGAAAATTAAAAGAGAACTTCATAATAATTTAAAAAAGGGTAACAAAAACAGATAAAAAACTAATTTGTTGCCCCTCAACACCCCACAAAGTAGTCTTTAGGTTAAGTTTGTATAGTGTATGACCACGGTTGTTGATTGCTGTCCAACATCTGTAATGCAAACTCATGATCAGATGGTCAACGCCATGCTGCGGTATTCTGTTCCACTCCATTGAAAGACCCTCAAACAGTTGCTGTCTTATATTAAAAATTTTTTGTTGTAAAATGAGTGACCAATATGTCCCATACATGCTCTATTGGGTTTAAATCTGATGATTATGACAGTCATGGTAAAACCTCAATTTCATTATCTTGGAGGAATGTTCGAACGACCCTGGCAGTATGAGTACAACAATAGGTTCTAGAATAATATCGCGGTAGTCTTTTGCATTCAGAAACCGTTCCAGATATACAAATTGGTTCTTCTACCAAGAGTGACGCCATCACATACCATTATACTGCCGCCTTGCTATCTATGAACCTCGTGCGCGGTGGCCAATCGTTCAGCATTGCCAGATCGTCTCCAAATTCTCTATGTCTGGTGCAAATCCAAATCGGAACTCATCTGCGAACAAAGTAGACGCCCATTCACGTCTAACCCAATTTGCGTGTTCTTTTGCCCACTAAAGTAAATAAGCGATATTTCCTCTGGATAACAGGCACTTTCACAGGTCTTCGAGCATTTAACCCTATTTCATGCAGTCTATTTTTAATGGTTTGGCTACTTACAAACACCTGATGGGTCTCTTGCAGCCTTATTTGTAATTGTGATACAGTTACAGTGCGATCTCATAAAGCCTGCTACCTAATAAAATTGTATTCAATCTGGTTGTTTATCCTTGTACGGTCTGTATAACGTTCAGCAACATTACCAGTTTCTTGACACCTTAACCACAAACGATTAATGACACTTCTATTAGTGTGGAAGACCTTAGCAACGTGCCAGTTTGAAACATCTCGATAGCACGCCACTGCGATTCGCCATTTAAATGATGTATCTACATTATTGGCAATTACAAAACTAAATTAAAATCCACATAGACATTTGAAAATCAAGTACCAATAAGGATATATTACTTTTTACCTTATAGACAAAAAACGCATATTAAAGTTTTGTTAAATTTTTATAAAAATATGGTTAAACCCGACATTAAAAAACATTTTAGTGTAACTTACCTAAGATTATTTGTAATTAACGGTCCGATCTGGTGATGAGTCAAATTCAGCAGACATAAAGCAGTTGCATTATTTTGAAGTCCTTTTAACATAGATATTTGAAGTGCTATCAGTTCTGCTTTTTTTGCTGAATTCATTGCTTTGGCCAGTTTCTCTCCTTGAAGGTGAAATTCTGTAGCATGAGTGTAATTTTCTATGGCCTAAAAATATTTTTTATGTATTACTTAGCTGTAAATGACGTTTTAATTGAATATACATATGCAAAATATACTGTAAGTGAAAATCGACAAGGTTCAATATAGCATCACTAAAGTAAATTGGTCGTACGTTGTTTTCGTGATTTATACCCATTGTCTGGAATTATTTCTTCTTAAAATTTGATCACTTATGAATGCATTATTCTGTATTCAACTATACGTATCCGCTTATTAGTGAAATTAAGTTAACTACATCTACACAAAGCTGAATACGGCTCTGGATTAGAATGACTCGTATATTGCTAGTCTAGTAGTAACACACGCCTGAGAGTTTTGGCAACACTGATCTGCATAAGCTAAACGTTCCGTTCTTAAATAAAGTTTTTTATAGTGGATTGTCAATTGTAAATCACTAGTTCTAGTTTGCTTGCTATAATTTTTTTTGGCACCACCGGATAGCTAAGAGGCTTCATTTACTTAAATGTCCTAAATCATGGTGAGTCATTGGTCGATCAAGTTAGTTATGTCACCAGTGGCCTAGTCTAATAATGGTCAAAGATAATTATGAATTTATCGAAAAGTTCATGTTATGAACGCTGTTCTAGTGTTACTTTATTATTACCACTACTGGCTATAAATTAAATTTAAATTTGTTAGTTCTCACAAAGATATATGCATATACAGAGTTCTCCAAATCAAGTAAAAGTGTAACAAAATTGTAATTTTGAATATACGTAGGTTTCTTATCTATTAAATTGACATACAGAGTGGCCCAAAAGTCTGGAAACGGCTAATTATCTCGTAAATTACTAGACATAATTATACAAAATTTGAGATACGCCTATTTTGGGATACGGAGATTCCATATTTGGTATTTGCAATGTTGCCGGATTTTCAGTTTCTCTTATATTACTAGTAACTTTGGTTTTTCAAATGCATCACCCTGTATATTCAGTCATTATTGGAATCTCTAATACGAGTTCAACCATATGTAACACTTATGATTTTATGTAGTCTTGAAGGTCTTAAATATATAAAACAGAAGTCTGGAAACGCCTAAATTGTTTCAATACATTTTTTAATACTAACTATTTTTAAATACATTAAAACGTAACAATTGATAGTTTAGAATATTTTTTAACATAATAGTTACGTTATTAAATGTTCAAAATGTGCTCCATTTGTGAGTTGACAGCACTCTAATCGATGGTAGAATGCGTCTACTACATTTCTCCATGATTGTCTAGAAATTATTCGAGATTTATCGATAATTTAAATATTTAAATATTATTTTGCACTGTTTTATGTATTTAAGATCTTTCAGACTACATAAAATCAAGTGAACATATGGTTGAACTCGTATTGAACAGCTGAACTCGTGTGAAATTCACACTGAATGCGTGAAAACCATACTCAAAGACCATAAAAATTAAATGTATGGTCAGATATAGTAGTTACTTATTCAATTGGGTCATTTTTTGTCGAAAGAAATTTAACGTCAGATAGTTGGTGTAAATGTTCGGCGATATTTAGATGAGATATTTCCTGGACGATAAATTGGAGGACAAGGTAAAATTGAATGGCCTCCACGTTGACCCGATTTCAATCCTAAAGATTATTTTTATTAGGGATACTTGAAAAATTCAGTTTACAAAACTTAACCAGCAAGTCTTGCAGAGCTAAGGCAACGGATTATCAATGAATCTCGAATAATTTCTAGACAATCATGGAGGAATGTGGTAGACGCCTTCTACCATCGATTAGGGTAATGTCAAGTCACAAATTGAGCATATTTTGAACACTTAATAACGTAACTACTATGTTAAAAAATGTTCTAAACTATCAATTGTTACGTTTTAATGTATTTGAAAATAGTTAGTATTAAAAAATTTATTGAAACAATTTAGGCGTTGCCAGACTTCGGTTTTATGTATTTATGACCTTCCAGATTACATAAAATCAAAAGTGTTACATATGGTTGAACTCGTATTGAATAGGAGATTCCAATAATGACTGAATATAAAGGGGATGTATTTGAAAAACCAAAGTTACTAACAATATAAGAAAAACGGCAAATCTGGCAACATTGTAAATATCAAATATGGAATCTCCGTATCCAAAATAGGTGTACCTCAAATTTTGTACAATTATGATTAGCATTTTACGAGATAATTAGCCGTTTCCAGACTTTTGGGCCACTCTTTATATGTGAAACAGATGATTATTGATGACTGTAAATTAAAAATATATACAAACCTTATTGAGGCATATCTTTGTTCCATCCGTATTTGATAATAATATAAACGGTTCGGCATCAGGATTAAGTCTATTATTCTGCATTTCCAATTTAGCTACTGCTATTAAATTGTTGATAATACTACAAGCTTCCCTCTCCCACAACAAAGCCACTTCCGAAAACAGCGTAAAGTGAAGAGCCACGATTTTATATAATTCCTTATTGTCAGGACAATACTTTTTTAAATATTCTAATAGAGCTGTTTTCAAATTGTTGTCTTTTCGCGAACCTTTTCTTAACAAAAACTCGAATTGATCGTGTTCACGCAGGATTTGAAACACATAATTCATTTCGGTATATCGTCCTATTCCTGTTAAAAGTCTGACGATAAGTTTCCAGCTTCTAAGTGTTAGAAGATGAGAAATTACTGATTGGCACTTTTTCAAAATAATAGATATACCTTCCATGTTGCAGTCAGCAGTAAAGCAGTCGTGGGCACTGATGAGAAGCTCGACAACGAGTGCTAACTTGCTTATTTTAAAGTCTAGATCAGCAAGAACCTAAAATATATTATTTATGTAGAAAAATCAACATATTTAAGAAACCGGCGATATATCACTCTTCGAAATTCTAGCCCTACCAAAGATAAGCGCATGTAATTATCCACTACTCATTGAAAATCAGTAATTTCAACAGTCAATCAGAATCTTCCGATAGACTGACCAAAAACGTGAATATGAATACAGTTAAGAATATTTAACTTTAAAAAATGTGCAAAGCAAATTGTTCTCTTTTGTTTTGTATATAAAAGAATACAAATGACCAGCTTACTAACGGAAACCACCAATTCTAAATTATGTTGCACAATGTGTTCGAAATATTATTTGGTTAAAAAAATGGAATTTTAGTGTTTTTTTACCAGTTTTTTACGATTCTCATGGGATCAATAAAATTTATTACTTTTGTAGCATGTACAAATTCCGTATAACTATCAAATATTTAAGGTATTAAATTTTTTATGTTTATATTGTGACGTAAGCGTCTAAAGACACCGAAGAAAAATTCCAATTTCAACTGCGAATTAAAAATATATTTATATTTGGTTTATTTTACGTCTTAGTTCTTAAAAGAATTACGATTGGCTAGTCCCTTTGACCATACGAGGGGTGAGAGGAAACGGTGGAAGCTGGTACGACGGAGATCAAGGTCAAGTTTTAGGTTGGGAAGAGATTTTATAGAGAGCAGACGCGGCAAACAGAAATACAAACAGCCATTTCAAAGAAGATCAAGAATCAAGGCCAGAGATAAAGCTAGATGAGATTCGACAAGCATTAAGAAAAATGAAAAATAACAAAGCCCCAGGAGAGGATGGAATCGTAATAGAAGCTATCGTAAATAGAGGAGATATGCTATTAAATAAATTAAGGAAACTATTCAATCTATGTTTGCAGCAAAGAGAGGTGCCCAAAGAGTGGAACAATGCTACAACCATCCTTTTGCATAAAAAAGGAGATAGAACGGACCTAGAAAATTATAGACCTATTAGTCTGTTGAACCACATATACAAGCTCTTCACTAGGATAGTGACATCAAGATTGGAGAAAAAATTAGATTTCTACCAACCGAGAGAGCAGGCAGGATTCCGCTCAAATTATGGTACCAATGATCACCTCCACACAGTAAAAACACTCATTGAAAAATCTATAGAATATAACAAACCTCTTGTTCTCACTTTCATAGATTTTCATAAAGCGTTCGACACGATCGAATTAGACAGCCTTATAGAAGCAATGAATGACAGCAGGATTGACCATAGGTATAGTGAGCTTATTTATAATATTTACAAAAATGCCACTATGACTGTTAAAATAGACAATAAAACCCGACCAATAAAAATAAATCGTGGAATAAGGCAAGGAGATACATTGTCGCCGAAATTATTCATAACGGCATTAGAATATGCCTTTAAGATGATCAATTGGAACCACAGAGGAGTAACGATAGACGGCGAAAAGCTTAACCATCTCCGTTTCGCAGACGACATTGTCCTTATCACAGATAATTTAGGAGAAGCTACAGATATGTTAAACGAATTGGATTTTGCATGTTCGAAGGTGGGCCTGAGAATGAACTTGACCAAAACTAAGTTTATGACAAATTTGGTCCCCAATAACCATTTGACAATTCAAGACAAAGTGGTAGAACTGGTGGAGAAATATACATATTTGGGTCATGAAATAAGAATCAGCAGGGATAACCAAACATGTGAGATCCAAAGACGAATTACTTTAACATGGGCAGCCTTTGGAAAACTGCGAGACACACTTAGGGCCAACATACCAATCAGCCTCAAAAGAAAAGTGTTTGACCAATGCGTATTACCGGTCATGACCTATGGGGCGGAAACTATGACTTTAACCAAGACCACGGCTTCGAAACTGAGAGTGGCACAGAGACGAATGGAACGGTCTATGCTGGGAGTGACGTTGAGGGACCGAATAAGAAACGAAGATCTGCGAAGAAGGACGAGTATTACTGATGTTGTGGAACGCATAGCGGAATTAAAATGGAACTGGGCAGGCCATGTAGCGAGAATGCACGATTCACGATGGACGAGCAAAATTACAAATTGGAGACCAAGAGCAGACAAACGCAGTAGAGGAAGACCACCTACACGTTGGGCCGACGACATCAGGCGTATCACTAAAAATTGGCAACAAAGAGCACAAAATCGTGAGGAATGGAGGAGTTTAAGGGAGGCCTATGTCCAGCAGTGGACGTGATAAATAGAGGCTGGATGATGATGATGATGATGATGATGAGACGCGGCGTGGGTAGTCTGGAGAAACCGGCAAATTTGTTGTAAAAAAGTGAGTTATACTCGAATGCAATGTGTCAGTTTTGAAAGAGTAATCACGGTTTTGTTTCGTGCCGTCTCTCATCTAAGAGATTTGTAAAACGGCGTTTCCAACAACTTAGAAGGACACCCACATGGTTCCATTATCTCTGAGTTTTTAAGAAGCCGAGTTTTGAAGATTGCGTCCCAGTGCCCAGCTTCCACCTTCATTTTGTTTGTCCCTGGTTGTCACTCCAGACTATTTTCGCAGTTGTTTGTGTTGCAGTGCATTTGAGTCCAGTTCCAACTCCAGAAATTTTAAAGGAAAAAAAATTAACATTTAGTGAAATTCAGGTAACTTTTTTGTTGAACTTTTAAAGTAAAAATGGACATTTTCCATCAATAATTGCTTTCATGACAAGTTGAGAAATTGTAATGAGTGAAATCATAAATGTTAGGGAGTGGCTAAGCTGTCATATTAATTATTCTCAAAGTTTAGAATTTAGTATTGATATGTGACAGTTAGCTTTTTTTTTTCTTTTTTTGGTACATACCCAACCATAAATTAAGAACTTGTTTTAATTTTTTTATAGGTTAACCTTTGTGCATAGTTCCATTTAAAAAGATATTTTTCATTTGTAATAATTTATTTCTGCTACAAAATATCGCCCATTAACAATTGTTAAGTTCTTATAGTATCTCCAACGTCTACTAGAGTTTGTAAACCGATAGTAAAATAGTAAGTTTGTTTTTTGTTATTTTATATCACTATTTATATTTGTAACTGTTTGTGGCGACACAACAGTACATATGTAATTTTTTCCCTAAAAAATAATATTATTTTTTTTTAAAGTTTCTAATTCTTTTTTATATTTTTTAGGAAGAGCCTTTCTTTCATCCAGCAGGAGGATTCTTCTAAGCAGCGTCCTTATTTTAAATAGTTCTAGAACCTTCTTGTATGGTGTTTGTCCAGGATATTCATGTAAGTACTCCTTTTTGTTTTATTTTTGTAGTTACCTCATTCCAGCCCCCTTGTCATCCACTTATCTACAACCCAGCTATGGGATTTTCATTATTAGACCCAATCTTCAAAACATATAGTCTGAAATTTCGGTTTTGAATTTTGGCAACACATGTGAGGCATTTGAAATATGTCTAAAAATCGATGAATTTAAACATTCACATCACAAACGATCGCACGTCACGAAAAGTGCTTCCACGAAACTGGTATTAGGTGGAATTTGTAGTTGAAGTTAAGTCGTTTTAAAAAACGTACTTGTGGAATTAAAAAGTAGCAGTTTTAAACGATGTAGATCGTTTGTAATGTGAAAGTTTAAATTTATTTACATTATTCTGTCCACTGTGAAATGTGGACTTTCTTTACATTATTTCTACAACCCTAGCAATGATATAACGATTTTGCATTGTCTGCATTATAAATAAAAACCGCTGGTCGTTGACCACAAACAAAACTAAAAAACCACTTATATTTTAGAGAGAAGGTTTAAAACAATTACACACAAAAATAAACCGGAAAAACTAGTTGTACGATTATGAAACATTAATAATAATAAAACATTTACCTGGCTCTTATGTGTGGCGCTGGCGTAAGCATATATTTTATGTCCCAATAACGAACAGTTGTCCTGTAGTAGTTGTAAAACTAAATGAAAATCTTGGTCCATTTTCAAATCCCACATAACATATTGATCAGAATATGATGTGACATATTTGGTAGCCGAAATGATGATTTCCTCACAAATAAAATCTGCAATCTAAAAATTTATATAAGATAAATATACTGATGGCCAAAAAAATGCAACATCTAGAAAGACAAATATTTTTGTAAACGTTTATTTATGAGTATACATTATAATATTCTTATTATTTGATAGCTGGACAGTTCGATGTAAATATCAGGATCGAATTGTTTCCTAATACCCCTTTGTCCGATTCTTCTCGATCGACGATGGTAAATAAATGGTTGAAGTGTGGAGTGAAAATTACAGTTTTATTGACAGCTAATAATTACACTATAGTTGTTGGTTAGGCAACTTTCTATAATAGACTGCGCTCAAATCTCCAATTTATAATTTCACAAATAATGTATACCTCAGCACATAGGTTAATGCTTTTATCATACTAACAAACTTTGAACTAAAAGCTTACAATACAATTCAATCTAGGCCGTTACTACAACACTTAGAAAGTTCAATTAGAAAATAGATTATTTGGCATATTTATTAAGTTTGTAGGTTGAATGGACTTTAATTATTAAAATATTACTTAATATGTTTCACAATGTTTCAATTATACACGGTGAAACTATAAAAGGTTAAGAAGTCAACATGATGTGAGATTACAAATTAAAGGATTAATTTGTGATTGAACAATAACATTATAAACAAATTGTATATTAAAAAAATCGCCATGTGGTGTATAAGGGATCTTAAAGTGTTATATAACTTATAAGTGTAATAACTTATTTTAAATTTTAATCAATGTATTTATTTCTATACATTAGGTGAACGACTGTTTACAATATCAGCCGTATAAACAATAACATTATCGACCTACGTTAACTGTTGTGGAAAAAATGGAAAAAGGAAAGTATTTTTGAAGTATGTAAACAGTTATACTGTACGAAAGCTCTCAGCTGAACGCTTTCGGCTTACAAAACCATTTTAGAGCTATACTACAATAGAACAATAATATAAATAACTAATTTTAAGTTTGCAATGTTCTACTAACGTTAAGTATTTAAGTATCACTACTGGGAGAGATCAATTGGTAACAAAACTACAGAAAATTTATCTTCTTAAGCTGATTATATTTATTTTTCATTGAAAAAATAGAAAAAAGATAGTACATTGGACTCCACAAAAAGCAAGGCTCAAAGAATCAAAGAGCATCTCAATAACACAGATAAATCAAACTTTGGACATCACATGAAATGTAATAATCATTTTATCCTTTTCTCCTAACAAAAACAGAAAAATTGTACATAAGTAACATACTTGGACTTATGAACCTTTTAGAAGACCTTGAGATATCCAAAGAAATGAAACTGAACCCAGATTGTTGCTTAAACACACAAATCAACCTCAATTGCAATTATAAATCTTTTTAAATTATTGTGGGAGATTTTAGAGGAAGAAGAGTGACCTCATGCAATCTTAAAAACATTATTCTACTTTTTTAAATTAAATTCAATTACCATAAAAAACGTATGCTAGGTATCAGGAATTAGTAACGCTTAAGAATAGACTAAGACAAAGTGACCAAAAAGTAACAATAGCTCACACGATCGTCTCAATGGCCAACTAGCTAGACGAGACCCAACAATTTCTCACTCATAGCTCTAAAGGCAACTTTTGGAAGCTACAGGTGTAAGTGTTTCAGTTAAAATGATAAGAAAAATACTTCATACCCAAGCACTATACAGCAGTAGACAGTTACGGGTTCCAAAGTTATCCAGACAGCTCAACATTCTACACTTAAATTAACACCAAAACTGGAACACTAGAAATTGACAAAATGTGCTATTTTCAGTCTATATATCGACGGGTTTTTGACAAAACATCGTAAGCGCCAATTTTACAAAATGGGATTTTTAAGTTTAATGATTGCTTACGATAGTTTACTACTGATTCAAAATTATAACTATTATTTTTCCATAATAACATCCTAAGTGTCTAAAATTGTATTTAATTTTTATCGTAAACACCACGTTTCAACCTCACGTTGCACTTTTTATCGTAAACGTCAAGGTAGTAACGACAAATGATTGTAATCGCCATAAATAATGTCGGTTACGTTTGCATGTTTTGCCGCTTACGATAAGATTAAATGACCGATATGACCGTTACATGATTCAATGTTGTCTTAAATGTGTGAGAAATCAGTGTAAATTTTATTGTTTGGAACAATTTATTTAAATAGAAGATAGTGGCAGTTTTGATAAAACCTCTTCTTCAATAGTTTTGGTAAGTAGTTATTACTTGTTTTGTTTTATTGCCATTTTGAATAAAATTTGAATTATAATTTACTACTTTGGTAATAACATAACCTGTAATTTTTATTTCTTATTGAGGAGTAAAAATAAAATTACTAGATATAAATGTAATATTGTATTTGCAATAAAAATATCTTGTGAACTTGTGAATATCTATGAACTTATAGTAAGTTCACTGAAACAAATGGTAATCCTTATTTTTTTTATTTTAATGTATTTTTTACTGATGTCATTTTCACGACAAGAAACGTCCTTGCTTGATATTTCCAATGTCCCTATAGTTTTCGCTGATGATAAAAAAATAAGTGATGCAAATGTTTTGACAAATGAAGATTTACATTGGAAGCATAGTGAAGAAATTTTAATAGTTGAAAATCATACGGGACGAAGTTTCAGAACACAACAAACGTCACCTGGTTGACTATTCCTCTAGCTCCGATTCTGAAAATGATGAAATAATAATTGCAAAAAATAAACAGTTGAAACGATTTAACTCTGGTAGTTCTTTAACACAAAATAAAACAACGAATCACTTGGTACTGTATGGGAGTCTGCTTAAAGAAAACCTAAAAAAAAAGAAAAAAGTTAAGAGTTTCGAAAAACGTTTGGGCGCTTCAAAATCAGTACAGGCGAATCCATGCAAAAATACACATTGTCAAAATGGATGTGCAAGAAAATTTATCGTATCAGAACGGCATGAACCTTTTGATTATTATTGGGACCTTGGAGATTATCAAAAACAAAGAGACTGGCTGCTCTCGTGTATAAAAGAAAAAGAAATTAAGAGAAGAGGAAAAGCTACCGAAACAAGCAGGAGAAGTAGAACATTCAAATACGTAATTTCCAAAAACAGGGAAGAGTAGAAGTGTGCCAGCAATTTATTTTAAAGATGCTTTACATTTCGCAAGTGACATTAAGGTATACTAAAGAAAACGCATGTAACGAACAATTCGCAAGACCGGATTGAAGAGGTAAGCATGAACTTCCACACAAAACAAGTATTCATGATAAAGACAGAATCCACGAATTTATAAAGAAACTTCCTACTGTTTCTTCTCGTTATTGTAGATCAAGTACAACAAAAAAATACTTAAGTACCTACCATACTCAGAAATGTATCTTATCTTTATAGAATGTTCATTAAAGATCAGTTTGATATTCATAAAATAAAAACTAAAGTATCGTTAAAGGTGTTGAGAACTATTTTTAAGAAGATTTCAATATCGGTTTTCACCTTCCGAAGAAATATATGTGCAATATGTGAGTATAGAAAAGAAAAAAATGTTAAATTTACTAAGAACGAAGAACTATTTGTAACGAGTCCGTTACTTAAATACCCATTTACTGCTTTGTCACTGGAATCCTTTAATTTAATTATAAATTAAATTCATCTTTGAAATATTCTTAAACCAAAAATTTAAATAACTCCAGTAAATTTTATTTTCTAAAGTTGGCATTAAATCCCGCCCTCTGTGTAAGATTCGGAAAGTACATCATCTTGGCAGCGAAGTACCGTCAGATCGTTACTTGCTTGCTGGATCCTACCGAATAAACACCGATCAAAGTAGAGCGGCTGGGGTGCCATGTTTCCGAATTTGGTTTAAGTTTATTTTTATTTTGTGGAGAAGATGTTATTTTAGAAGGAAACCATTTGTTACGTTGTTGTTTTTTTTTGGGAAAATACTTTAAGTTTGGACCACAGCCGCCTACTTCCGGGATCCAGTGACAAGTCAGGGCAGAAAAACCTTTTCAGTTTGTTTATTGGGGAATATTTATTGGAACAAGGGGGAAGAAAAAGTTTTTTAAGTTGGGTTAAGAAGAATTTCAAGGACTTAAGTTAAAAGTACCTCTTTTTTTATATGGTGTCCAGGTTTGGCGTATCACCCACCTGCGACTAGTTCTCCACCGGATCATCTCCAGGGAAACCTACAGAAACCGGCAGGAAGAACTGATTTTTAATTTTTTTTATTTCCTATTCGAATATTTTTAATAACGTTCTACATCCTCTTCAAGGTTTAACTTTTGTTTCATTTTAATTTCAATATATATCATTAATAATAACTACCTTCACTTTTTCATAAAATATTAATCATTGTAACGTAATTTAATTATTTATTGTCCACCAAGGGTTGAGATTGTAACTCCCCTGGACTCTCTCGTTATCAGGTTATAGTGTGCACACATATCTGGAGAGGTTTATTTCATTTATTTGATAATTGTAACGTTTATATTATTATATATTTCTTTTTATATTATATACTTAACCATTGCATAACCTTAGTCAAAATTTAACATTAATAGGTACGTTAGGGGGGGAAATTGTTTTCATCATTATATATAGGGTTTTCATTGTAAATATAGATTAGTTAATTGTATATAAGAGGTGTTGGGTAATATTGTTATATATAGGGGTTTAAAATAATTTGTACATAATATAGGTCTTTATTAAAGTTGGGTTAAAACAATTTAAGATTTCACTTGGTACCTATCCTTTAATATTTCAGCAATACAAGATATCTTGGAAGAAAACCTTCAACTTCCTGGCGCCCAAACATTCATTAGAGCAACTTTATCTTTCTTCTGTTTATTTCTTGGTAGTTTCTAGTCATTAATTCTTACATCTTACGGTCTCTGTAGGGCATGCAAATTGGCCGAATCCCTCCTTGATTGTCAAGAGGTCATTCTCCTGCATAGTCGCTAGCCAGCATTAAATTTATTATATTTTAAAATTCATATTTACCCTTTATTTATTTCTTTCAC